AAGCAATATCCAAACGTTTTGTCAGATAATACGTTGTGCCTTTATTCATCTTCATCTTGAATGTCAATAAAAAAAAACTTGGTCTTTTTTTTTTTGTTTGTTTTTTACTTTTCGTAAAGAAAAAACTTTTTTTTTTTAGAAGTGTAATATTGCACTTCGGCAGAAAAACCTTTCACAGTGTTTGACATTTGGTAAAAAATTATTCCAATGACAATATAGTGGATTGCCTCATTGTAGGTAATATTTTCTCCCTATCTAACTGCTGACTTGTGTGTTACTGACTGGTGGAGCTGTATCTGGGGAAGGGAAAGCACAGAGAGCATATCAAACCCATTTAATCGGACACCCTGCCCAAAGGATTTTAATCTCTTGATCCGTGAGGCTCAGGAAAGCGAGAAGCTGCCACTATGGTCAGGGAAAACTCTGGGATGTGCCTGTTGCCTCTTAGGCATCCAGGTTGTCTATTTTTCCATTTTGTAACAAGCAGAGAAAGTTTTAAATCCCATGTGAAATGTATAAAGGAGCAGCACAGCTTCAAGCTATTTCACCAGCAGAAAATCAGAAATGAATCATAAAAAAATCCCTGGTTTTTTTTTTTGTTTTGTTTTGTTTGTTTTTTGTTGTTTTTTTTTGGTTTGTTTGTTTTTTGTCCAAACTTTAAACCCAACCACTGAAATTTGTTTTCAGTGGAAGTTAAAATCTGCATTTTCCATTGTGGCAGACTGGTGACCCTCTAGAACGGAAGTCTAGTGTAGCAGCAGTGATTCACTCCCAGCATATAAAGGCAGTAATGAGATTGAGAGCCAGCCAGGGTTTCCACCCAGCAATCTAGGTCATTAGGTCTGCAGTGTAATTTAAGGAGCACCACATCTGCTCACATGTAGGCAGAGTTCAGTGTTGTGGCTCGAGCATTAGAGCGACGCTTAATCCTCCTGTGACAGCTGATTGTACGTATTTTCGGCTCGCGCTTCTGCAGAGTTCACTTCATTTGTTTGCCAGAGAACAGTGAATGTGGAGCACAGAAAGCCCTATATACAGTAAGGTAGGAGAATAGAAACACATTCACACTGTGGCAGATGTTTATTGTCACCAATATACACCAATTTAATAAACAATGTTTTACTATGGATTGTGCATATCCGTTGGGGTTAACAGCCCATGTATGTACAATACCGTATCATCATGCTGCTAATTGAAAATACTTAATGAGTCAGTCATTATTGTTGCTCTGTCATCCATCTTGGCCCAGTCTTGTGGATGCCATTGGGCCAAATAAGTCAATGGATCACATGCTTATGGACTGCATGGACCCTGGGTTATTGACTGACAGACGGCTGACCTAAATGAGTGTAGAGAAAGGATTAAGTGTTTATTATCCTTTCCCGTTATCCTGCTTTCTGGTCCTCCCTTTATCTCTGGGTCTTTCCAGGGGGAGGGGCTTGTGGTGTTCCCCTTTTTAAAGTGCATTATTATTATTTATTCATTTATTTATTTATTTATTTTTAATTCTCCTATTATTTATTTTTGGAGGAGGAGGGGGGACTTTTTTGCCTGGTTGTGGAAACCAGTTGGGATAATATCGACAAATCTTACATGGTCATTTTTGTTTGTACGCGCAGAAATGACAATATTCACGTAACCTCTGTGCACTCTCCCTAACTGTATGTTAAAAATATTTCCAGTTGCAGATTTTTTGTTATCTTTTAATAATCTGTATTTGTAAAGAATAGGGTTTAGATTTTTCTGTGTTTCCGTTACTGTAACAAAACCCAGAATGCATCAGAGCCCTTCCCACTAGTTTCTCGTTTGTCTGTGGTGCTCAGCCCTAAGTTTGTTTGTTTTTTTCCTGCAAATTGTCTTTAGACATTTTAAAGCCTTTTTTTCCCCTCAAAAAAACCTAAACTTGTTCATATTTCAGGGACTGTTTTCAGGTGCAGAGCTGTCTGCATTTCAGTACTCCTGGAAATCAACTCAAAATAAAATGCAGTGCTGCTTTGTTAATGATAATGGAGCATGTAAGAGCAACAATGTACCTCACTGGTGTGTATTTGAGGCCAAGCTTTCCTCGCTTCCAGCTTTGCTGTAATCCCAGAGTACAAATTTCCTTTGGGATAAACGTGACGTTGATGACAGGCCTCAAGGCTACATCACTCTAGCGAAAAATGTCTAAGCTTAAATATAAATTGCTAGAGCTCCAATATAACCTTATGTCTGAAATTTGTATTGCAACGAGTGACGTATTACGCCGTAAAAGTCATCAAAATGAAATGTGATGAGGCTTTATCATTACAGATACAAACAGACAAAAGAGATTCATCAGATAATATTTGTTCAGTAATATTGTGGAAGTCAGCTGGAGGCACTCAGGGTGAAGTCAACCAGACGAGGGAGTGAAAAAAAGCAGCCCGAGGCGGGATAGAGAGCGACTAGGCCCTCCGGTCGACCATTTTGGTTGGTGCAGCCAGCCAGATAATTAATCGTGATGGCAATCTTTGACACAGTGTAATCACATCACACCTCGGTGCCACAGGAGCAGCACTGTCTGGCTCTTGGTCTCTTGTCACTGACACATGAAGGCGCTTTGTGAATTGATATGTCTCAGGTTAAAATTTTTCACTCACAAAGGTCTCCAAATAACTTCCAAATCAGTTCAGTGCTCCAACATATTCAAGCCCTTCAGTTTTATTGTGACTCTGCCTCATGAATGTTAAAGTCTTTTAGTCAAAACTAGTTTCTTCTGTCTATCACACAACGATCATTCTGGCAGCAAAACACTTCCATTCTCAAAAACTCTTTCATTAAGCCGTAATGCAGATGAGCACTTCAGGAGCTGTGACGATGGATGTTTTCATTGAGTACATTCAAGAGCAGATGATGGCTCAGACCTATTTACTTGCAAATGAAGATCCTGAGATGCATTTCTATCCAATCTATTCCATTTGTCATCCAAGTGGGACTTCAAAGCTGATTTCCAAAATAATCTGAGGCAGAGATGTTATTTGCATCCCAAATTGGTGGATGATGTTGATACCCAGACTTCTGAATTTCAGAGATGAGTTAACCTTTCATAGCTTAGAAACGAAGAGCTGAAAGCGTTGCTGGTCACCTCTATGTCAGGATCTGTTAAAGGAAAGTTGTTGGTTTTTTTTCTTTAAAATTTCAAAGTCTCACCCTAATTCATCACCATTTATCAAAGCTGAGTAAAAACGTTTTTACTGTCAAGTGAGGAAACATTTGGGGAAAAAAAAAATCACTGAACATAAAAAATAAAAAAATCTTGTTTACTATCAAAATTTAAAACTCCAAACCCAATCTCAAGATGTTTAGATTTGGCTGATTTCCTGACTGGAGCAGACTAGTTAAATCAGCCCACTTTGACTTTTCAGTTTAAAAATCTAATATTAATGCTCTGCCACAGCAAGAAGTGGAGTTGAAGCATGCCCCAGAGCTAACAGTCTCCCTGCAGAGTATCCGATGTATATTGGTAAATAAAACATTTAGCCATCAAATAGTCAAGTCTAGAGACACCACGAACCAGTTTATCCTGTTTGATTAAATCCATAATTCACCACTCTGACATTCTAGTCGGATTTGATGAATGTGATTCAAACACATTGTATTTATTTCATTTGAAATAAATACAATGTGTACTTGACATCTACAGATGTCAAGCCACAAATGTTAGCTATGTTCTATGGGCTTCAGGTGGTCTATAATCAATGAGTATCTCATACATTTTAACAATTGATCCATCAGGTTGGATTTTAAATGCATAGGACAGCAGTTGAACACTAATTATGTCAGTGTAATAATAATTTTCTGAGCTAATACCTGAATAATTTTATCTATAGAATTACAGAAACTTGCAGAAAAACTTTCAATAAATGGATCAAGATTCCAAAGTCCCAGGACATTAAACTGATAAGTTTAGGCCTTAAATCATTACCAATTATGGAAATTTGTGCTGCTGTGTTTGCTGTTGACTGTCTCCACTCTAACGCCACACATACAGAAACCATAGAGCATCTGCAGACTTCAAATAAACCTCTGAGTTGTAGCAGTTCAAACTGCTTCTTATTTTTAATTCATCTGATTCCTAAAACTTGAGCAGTGGGAGGATTTCGGATGTATTTTGCATTTTGGGGTCATTTCCATGGAGAAGCGGGTTGGCTCATTTACAATGTGGCTAATTACGGCTGGGCTTTCTAGCACTTTATACCGTATGAATTACTCAGAGGGGTTTTCCCCCATTACTGCCCAGTATTCATTTAGTTTACTCAAGTTCGTAGTACCTTAATGAGGGTGTTTTCTTGATGTATGCAGGGCATGTTTGTTTTTTGCTGGTCTCAGGAAAGGAGCTCCTTTGCTGTATTTAAAACAATGATTATCTTATCGTTTAATCCCGAGTTTCTACTCCCTTTCAGTTTTGTAACCCATTTTCTTACATGCTTTTGTCTAATACGTGTAGTATTCTTCTAAAGTAAACCAAAGGATTTCAAAAATGAGACTTAAAAACTAAATATTTTTGACACATTCTGTAAATGTTGGGTTATTTAATTAAAATCTTTTTGGCTCTGCCTTTCCTTTACACAAAATGTATTATTAAAGGAAAGCTGAGCTCTTGTTTAAGCTCTGATTAATATTTTTCTTGTGAAATAACTGCTTTGCTACGAAGAAGACGATAAACCCCTTTTTATTCATTAATGGGAACAAATTGAATGTTTTTCAGACTGCCTTCCAATTAAAATTAAAGTGGATACGTTATTGTTTTACAGCAGAAAGTCTGTCTTTGCTTATTATCAAATGAAGTGGGGAAACATAATTAAAAAATGAAGAAATAGAATAAAAGCTAAACCGCCTATTTTTAGACACACATGCTGCTAAGTCTGCATCCAATGTTTGGCAGTCAGCACGAGTGTTGGTGTGAATGACCAATAGCGGTTGCTGGGCTGGCTGATACTGACCATCTGTGTGTATGTTGTGTGTGTGTGTATGTGCAGCTCCCCGCAGACTTCAGCAGACTTCACCTGGCCGACGGCTTACACCCACAGGTGACCCACGTCTCCTCAAGCCACTCAGGATGTAGTATCACCAGCGACTCTGGAAGCAGCAGCCTGTCAGACATTTACCAGGTAAGTCCTCCCATCCCTGGTGCTGGATCCCCAGCTTGGACTTCCTTGGATAGCTAAGCAGGTGCATGGTAGTTTAACTAGTTAATGCAGCCATAGCTGAGCAAGAGGAAATCATAAAGATGCTAAAACATTTATCAGTCTAGCTAGGGCCTTTTTGGAATTACTGACAAAAGTTAGATAAGAAGAGCACTACCACTCATGAGCATGCCATAAATATGAAGCTACAGCCAGTTAGTTTACCTGACTGCAGCCACGTAGACTTAATAAATAAGATGGATGAAATTTCCATGTCTCAAAAGTGGACAAGTTTAATATTTGCCTTCTTTACAAAGATCAGCTGGGGGTGATGACTGTTGCAAAGAGAAATCTGATTATATAGAAGTCTATGAAAGTCTACTTTTCACTTTATTTATGGCTTAGGTTAGCATTTTGTTAATCAGATACAATTCTCAGTCTCCAGTTTCAAATCATATTTAATACAGTATCATGTTCATTTTGTGGATTACTTTACATCTAAAGTGAACAACAAATCAAGCTGGGCATACCTGTGATTGGCAAACCACTACCATAGAAACATGTCGTTTTATTGTGTCTGATTTCTCAGTCACTGATGTGAACATAAATAGCAATGATCAAAATTTTCACTTTGAGACTTCATCACAGTGGCAAGGTCCATCTTTTATATTCAGTCTGTGTGGTAATAATAAACCAAATGTATAATGCATCAACTGCTAAGCATTAAAAGTGTAGCTGTTCCCCTCTGATCGGGACTGAGTTTGTTTCCTCTTTTTTGCAGTGTTTGTATTAACCTGACTAGTTTTCTGTTCACCTCATTAGACGAGGCAGACTTATCGTGTGTTTTCCTGCAGTTTCAATTAACAAATACTCATTGAGCTGGTTTGTTTCGACATAACCTTGTGATGAATTGTAAATAATGAGAAAAAAAACATTGATTTGCATGATTTGGTGTGTGTGTATATGTGTGTGTGTGTATGTGTATATGTGTGTGTATGTATATATATATATATATATATATATATATATATATATATATAACATGTAACATAGCATTTAAAATCTGTGATATAAAACAAACTTTGACCACATCTGAGACCAAGTCTTTATGGAAAAAATGGAAAAAACATATGCTTTTTGTGAAATGATGACTATACCTCTGGGAATGTGCATTAGTCTCATTAAGGAGGACTAATTTTCTTTGGAAGAATTTAAAGCCTTTTTTGCCAGACATGTTATAAGACACTAATGGGAGACTTTTGCTACGCAGCAGGGGATGAGCAGACAGGCTGCTGGCTGCAAGCAGGTGGTCCAGCCTACATCCTGACTCCAGCTCTGCCTTTCATCACCTCAAAGCAGAAGTACAGGACTCTCACAAAGCTGTGATATACAGTCTCATGTAATGAGGGCACTTGATGAGCATTTTTGTGCTAAAATATTAGCACGTGTAGGCCTCACATAATTTGTTTAGTGGTGTTGAGATATGTGTAACTTGATGAAGGATGGGCTCCCTCAACCCATCCTTCATCAAGGCCAATGCTTAATTTAGCAGTTTATAAATAGCGTTATAAAGATCTGCACCAAAAGTGTTTGGTTTGCTTGCAATCCAACCCCCATCCACCCGCCCTCACCAAGCCTTTTCAATTCTGCTGGGTAGTTATGAAAACATAATCAAAGTTAAACATTTGAACCCTTAAAACCCAATTCAAGTATGTGCGCTCAACTGATTGTGGACGTGCCCCAAACTCTGCAACTAATCCGCTTAGCATAGCACACCCACCCCATTGGCTCCTAATTCTGTCACCTGCTGTGTGTCTGTAAATGTGTGTTATGTTTGTAAGCAGGATTGTGGCTGTGCTGTTTGCTTCGACTGACTGTGGTTGGTGTGCATCAGGGCACTCATTCAGTATGCTCAATACAAACAGTCTAATTGCATATGAGGGGTGTGTTATTGTGGAGCTCTGTGTGTGTATGTGTATATGTTTTGACCATGCTGTGGCTGGCTGGGGCAGGTTGAACAGGCTCTACTGTCCCCAGTCTGTGATCCTGGTCTTAGCACCATCTGCTAGCAGCTCTGTGGTGGCCTCTTGATTTTTTTTTTCCTCTCAGTCTCTTTCTCCTCTCACTGAATCACAGACACTGTTCTGTTTTCTCTTGTTTTTTTTTTTTTTATTCAGCCTCTATAATGTTTGGTTTAACTTCTACTCTGCTATTTGTAACTTTGGCTCAAAATACTGTATTTAAATTCTTTAGTTTCGATGACAAACCTCTTATATGCTTCATACGTGCTTTCTCTGTTTTAACCGTTTCAACAATCAAAATGCTTCAGATACCTTCGAGTCAAAGTTTGGCTCTATTCTGTATTTCACTGTTATATTTGGACTGTTAGTTGGACACATCAGGCTATTTGAACCTGTCTCTTTTGGCTTAAGAAACTTGTATTTTCTGGCACTTTACAGGCAGAAGGTTTAATCAATCAGTCAATCAAGAGGATAATCATGAGATTACTCACTTCTGAATTTCTGGGATGTCTGTCAATCAGGCTTGAACAGACACATTCTATGGATGCTCCATCAGATTGTGATTTGGGAAGCTGTGGTTTTGAAGCTTTTGGATTTGTCTTTTTGTCTGCTTCTGTTGAAGTTCTTGAGCACTCTATGCTCTCTATCTTCTCCTAATCATTTCCTGGCTTAAGTGGAAATTGTTATATAAAGCAGTTGTTGGGCTTTTTTTGCTATCCAGTCTACAAGATTCTCCTCATTTTTATCACAAACTTTTAGAAAATGAACACCATGCAGACATGCCTTTAATGTGGACAGAAAACATTGAAATTCTAACCATGAGTGCACAGCATGATTTCTAAGACTGTTGGTTTATGCAACATTGCTTTTTTATTATTAGATAAAGTTACACCCTGCATGTTTCAGAATAAAAAACATTTTAAATGTGCAGAACATCAGAAACGAGGAATGTTTGCAGTGCTCACTGGGGCTGGTGTTGAATAAATGGATCAGAGGATACTTCATAATTTGCACTTGAGATCATGTGAAGTTGATGTTGGTGAAATATGCTTGTGTTAAACATTATTTTTACTGTACACATTTTTGCTGCGCATACTGGAGTCTAGATTCTGGATGGAGTACTGAATAGTCGAACCACCAGGCTATTCCACTGCTATCGCCACGTAATTCCCACGTCACTGCCAACATGGCGCACTGTTTGTATCTGAATAAATCATGAAATTGGTCCTTCAGAAGGACTTTGAAAGCATTGATCCAAGAATAGCCCTAATGAAATATTAACAACACCTGACTTGCCCACTGATTCTTAATGCTTTCTGCACATCTATGGATGTCTGATACATGCATGGCATGAAAAAAGGGCCGTGCATGAGCACAAAGGCAGCCGGGCCCTCTGTATTTAAATGCAATATGAAAGCATACACACATGTTTGACAGCTGGCTATGAACTGATTGTTGTATATAACCTTGAGTTTCTAATGCTGTATTATGTGGGTTGTTAAGTGTTGTGAACCAGTCTAGTGCTTTTAAAGTAGACTGGTCACATGATCCTCTGTAGTTTTATGCAAGAAGTTTTCCTCTGTACCGTGTTCTGCTCCATACCTAATCTGTGACTCTTCACTTTCATCGTGTTTGCAGGCTCCACCCACCAGGGTGTGGACCAGTGATGCCCAAACGGCCATTCAGACACTGAATCATTAAAGAGCCCTTTGCACATGGCGTTTGAGGAGAAATGACATAGGGTTTCTGAGAGAGACCAAGCACAGGGAGACTGAGCATTAAAAAATTAGAAGCAGACTGACAGTCTGGGAGATGAAGATGCGTCTATCTCTGGGATTTTGCGCACAGTTTGCAAAGGCAACCTATTCTTCTCTTTCTGTTAAGAGGTTTGAGATTGAGAACCGTATTTGGGTAAGAGGGTTCACTGTTGGGAGGTAGCAGAGCCGATGTTGTGTTGCCTTTTTTGTGACTGCTTTGACTTGCTCTTTAAATGGTTTTCATGTTGTGTGAGTGTGAACCAGGCAATCTGGCCCCTCTGTCATTTATAGAAATACTTTCTTTGATGATGGCAGATGAACTCCGCTGGTATCGCTCAGGCACAAGTAATTGCATTACGCTTGCTTCTCATCTTAGTTCATTTTCACGGCTTCGCACATATTTCATCTTGTGCTTTCAAAGAACAGGATCTGGCTGCGAGGCAGGCTGTGGCGTTTGCTGTGGGGGAGAAAAGAGGGGAGGAAAGTTGAGAGTTAATTAGCTTGTTACTATGCATAGCAGACTGTTTTGTATGCAGTGTTGACGCCTGTCTTTCTGCTACTGTACTGATTACCTCTTATCAGTTTCAAGAAATGGGTCAAATGTGCACAAAGGAATTTGTTTTTTGTGTCACAGCTGATTTATTTTTGTCATCTTAACTTAATGACGTGTGTGTGTGTGTGTGTGTGTGTGTGTGTGTGTGTGTGTGTGTGTTGTGTGTGTGTGTGTGTGTGTGTGTGTGTGTGTGTGTGGTGCGCTGTGCTTTAGCGGGGCAGTGTAGCGTGCAGTGCAGGAGTGGCAGAGGCGCTTAAAATGAAAAAATATTTCACTGGCTGTTTACAATGTGTTTTCTCTGTCCCCGTTTGGACAGCTGACATGGGTGGGGATTTATTTTTCAAGCTTTTATCTGATAATTCAAAGCTTTCCCTGTAACGAGCATGGAGGTTGGTCATTCAGTGTCTCGCTAGTAGACTCTCGAACTCGAACAAGGAGCTGGATAGATGAACGCGTTTGGCCTTGTGGTGGCGGGATTGCTGATGTTGCACCGAGCCGCAGAGTCCCTGCTCGTGTTTATCATTGACTCATGGCTTACCTGTTGTTTCTTTCTAGGCCACAGAAAACGAACCAGGTGACATGGACCTGAGTGGCCTGCCAGAGACCGCTGTGGACTCTGAGGAGGACGACGATGAAGAGGACATCGAGCGAGCGTCCGACCCCCTCATGAGCCGGGACATTGTGCGGGACTGTCTGGAGAAGGACCCCATGGACAGGACCGACGATGACATAGGTGAGCACCCAACTAGGGATTGAATTTACTTGGCTCTTCATGACTATTCTGATCAATAGCACTAGTGTAAATATTCAACCGTGCAGTGTTCATTGTGAAAAAAATATCCTGCCTATTCTTGTGCATGCCTGAGAGTTCTATATTTGAAGACATCTTTAGAGAATGGTGTGAAAAATACCAATTTAAACAGAAGCCCCATTGTCCCATTTTTAGATTAATTTATGCTTTATAAAAAGCCACTCCCTGCTTTCTTATTTAAATCGTCGCCATAAATTTACATTTATCTCAAGTCGGTGCTTCTCTCATGATCGAGGCTTTCGAGTAATTCTCAAAGCCCCATCAGGCTTGCAGTATCATAACTCTTAAGGCTACGATTCTTCTCAAATGAAAATGATAGGCATTGTTTAAAAAAAAAAAAAGTGTGCACACTCAGCTTAGCGGCAGATGTGGACTTGGGGAGGTTGATACATTGGTGGACTGCGAGAGAGTAAGAACAAGTGCCAACCCCTCCCCCACTTCACTTATCTCCCTGCTGTACCCCCTCCCCTTGCCAGCAGGCTTTTCTAGGTCACGCTGGCACATCCTCTCGCCTCACCTCTCCCTGCGCATTAAACTTTTAGTGCTTCCGCAGCTTCTCACACGACGCTGTTGCCATGCCAAGCCCAGGTCAACCAGTACACCACACTGCTGCTGGTTGGTAGATGGCGTATAGAGGTGTGTTTTCTTTCTGTGAGCATCAGTGTAGGTGTGCTGCAGAAAGTCCTGCACCTTGTATTAAGCCTAGCATGGGCGTCTAGCACTTGCATCCAATCACATATTCAATAATGAGAAACTATACATTTGCACCAAATTCAGAATTCATTGTTTTCCAATCGTCATCATGAAATTTAGAGTTTTTTGGTCTACAGTAGTGAGAAAAATTTTCAAAGGTCTGTATAGAGTCCAGGAAAAAAAGGCGGGGGTGCAATTAGCAGCCAGGTGCTGCTAATCAGAGGCACTTGATTGACTGATCATCAGCAAGTGTGAGCACCTCTGGAAAAGCAGAAATTTAGGTCGTTTGGTGGTCTGGAGGACTCAGGTGTGTGTCAACACAATTTTCCAAGGAATGAACGTCTCTGCAAATTCACCCGAAGGTCAGAATGTGCTAAGTGAAACTTTGAAGAATTATAAATGAATCCCAAGCACTGCATCTCTGACTATACAGGCCACAGTTAACATAAGAAAACTAAAGTTTGTGATAGTAAAAATACAAAAAGACTTAACAAGTATGGATTGTTTGTTACGAGGGGAAAACCTCTCGTTGCAACAAAAGCATGGCAGCACATCTTAGGTTAGGCTACAAGAGCTGTGCATAAACAGAAGCCAACAAACCTCGATGAACTAAAGAAATGTTGTAAAGAAGAGTGGGCCAAATTTCCTCCACAATGTCTTGAGAGACTGGTAGTCCTGCAGAAAAGGATGACTTCAAGTTACTGCTGCTGAAAGCAGTTCTACAAGCTACTGACTCATGGGGTGTGCTTAGTTTTTCACAGGCCTGCATGGAGTCATGGGAAAATGTTTTCTTTTTGGTTTTCTCCCACATGATTCTATATTACATCCTCTTTCATCTGTTGTTTCATAATGCCAGTCATACTAGCCATCATATGACATTTGGAACCTGTTTTTGTTTATGCATATAGATGTGGGGGGGTTTGTGCCGGGTTATATTGTAAGAACCACAAAACTATTTAAGTTAATTAAAACCTCTGCAAATGTAAAGGTTGAAAACATTGAATATTAGAAGACATGGGCAAATTTAATTGATTACTTTATGCTAACAATAACATATTCACATTAAGATCTGTTAAAAGCACATTGTGAAGGATGTACATCTCTGTTCATGGCTGGATGGAGATGTGTGAGGACAGTTGGCTGTAAGCCTGATCCTCCCTGACAGCACACCCACTATGATTTCACTTCTGGTTCATTGTCTTCAATAACTCCCTTAAGTCGCACAGAGGTCGTTGAGTGAATTGTCAGCAGTTTTCCTCGCTTGCCTTAAAGTTTTTATCAATAGCATTGATATTTGGCTTTGTCTTGTCCACATAATGATTTCTCCGTTGGCTTGATATAATTGTGGTGATGATCCATTTTGATGCTGGACTGAGGGCAGTGCAGACCTGCCAGGTGCACGCTACGCTGCCCGCCCTCTTTCTCTCCTCCAAGTGTCTCTTTGATGCCTTTCCTAAACTCCTCTGCTGTCTCTCCTTTGTTCCTCTCGCAGAGCAATTACTGGAGTTCATGCATCAACTGCCAGCATTTGCCAACATGACCATGTCAGTGAGGAGGGAACTCTGCGCTGTCATGGTTTTCGCTGTGGTCGAACGCGCCGGCACCATCGTTCTCAATGATGGAGAAGAGGTGTGTGTTGGTGCATACTCATGCACACGTAAATCTTGTCTTGTGATTGTTCAATTTAATTCATATATGTGTGCGTGCGTGCATGTGTGTGGGTGCTGAACCTTAGTCTCACCTCTTCATACCAATGAATCTTTCTTCGTCCATTTGATATTTTTTCTGCTCTATTAAACTTGAATAGTGGGCATTGCTTATCGACGGGTCTTTCTAGGATCCTTTAGGCGCCCAAAGCAGGCCTCAGTTGTTTCATCTCTCTGTTCAGGACGCTGTTTCAGTGGCAGTTTGCTTTTTTCGCCGTAATACATCCATACAATAGGATGCCTTTAAGGCCTAGCCACATTAGTAAATGTCCAGTCATAAATAATTTAAGGTTCATTGAGTGCATTGTTGCTGTCAGGGTTAAGGAAACCACAATGGCAGCTTTTCAGAAAATCCTGAAAATACTCTTATTATTGTTATTAAACCTAAATGTGCCCCTACTAATAATACTTTGAAATTCCTTTTTTCTTACTTAAGTCTTGTTTTTTTCCTGGGCAGCACCAACAGCCTCTTGCTTTTGCTGTATTCCTCTGAGGAAAATAAGAAACCATCTGTTAGTGCAACAGTCCCCTTGTAGTCGCTACATATGGTTCTTTTTGATAAATAACTTTGACTCATTAAAGGACACCAGCTGTTGGGAATGTTACTATACTGAAGTTAATCTGATGTGTGAAGCTGTTAGTGTATTAGTTTTTTGTTTTCTTTCTTTCTTTTTTCTTTCTTTATTTTTGATCTGACCTCTGTGATTGTTTTTATGGCTCCAGCTGGACTCATGGTCGGTGATCCTGAACGGTTCGGTGGAGGTGACGTACCCTGACAGCCGGACAGAAATCCTGTGCATGGGAAATAGTTTTGGGGTGTCACCAACCATGGAGAAAGAATACATGAAAGGTGTCATGAAGACCAAAGTAGACGACTGCCAGGTAAGAGCCTCACTTTAAGTACTCCTGCTCTAGGTGTTGGTCAAATGTATTGCCTGGGTTTACAGGTCAGTTTCTTCTGCATCATTTCCATGTGACAAACATGGGTACAAACCCTGCCATGTTCAGTTTTTAAATCCCACTGTGACCCACTTGTGCTGAAAGTGTTTGCACTCGTGACACCTAAAGTTGCTGCAGGCAATAGCATCCTTTTACATGTGCGGAGCAGCTATTATGAAAGAAAATAGGCCCGCTCATGAAAAGAGGAAGATCTGAGCTAAAGTTGGTGGCTGGGGTGTAAAAAATTGTTCCCATTATCTTATTTTTATATATTCATTTGGTTGCTATGCCATCAGATGTTATAGGTTATATTACTTTAACACTTTATCTTCCAGTTATTGCATTTGAATACTATTAAGCATATATAATTAATGTAAATTTACAAGTTTCTTTCAGTCACCCACTAATTTGAGTTTCTCTGTTGTGTCCAGTTTGTGTGTATAGCCCAGCAGGACTACTGCTGCATCCTCAACCAGGTGGAGAAGAACATGCAGAAGGTTGAGGAGGAAGGAGAAATTGTTATGGTGAAGGAACACCGTGAACTCGACCGCACCGGCACCAGGAAAGGGCACATTGTCATCAAGGTAACCATTAAAAATCAATTAATCTACGCTTCTTTAAACCCCATAATCTCAAAAAAAGAAGTCCATTAGAAGATGGCCTTATTTCACACTTGATTTATGACCTCAGTAAACCCAGTTGAGCCGTATGTACTTGATGCTAGTTTTAAGGCTTTTTAATAAAGCAGGAGTTCCATCTAGTACATGGTTCCATATAGAGTAAAGCAGGCTAGCATTTCAGTTGCAGTTGCAGTCATCTTAAGGATCTGCCACTCACTTGTAATGTCTTTCTGTTAAACATCAGGGCACACCGGAGCGTCTCACCATGCACCTCGTAGAGGAGCACTCAGTGGTGGACCCTACATACATCGAGGACTTCCTGTTGACCTACAGGACCTTCCTCTCAAGCCCCATGGTCGTGGGCAAGAAGCTCCTGGAGTGGTTCCACGACCCAAGTCTCAGGGACAAGGTATGATCAGCAGGACTCTGGTATATCTGTTCAGATACACTTTAGGCAACTAGACTTTGTCCATTTACTCACAGACGTGGTGTAAATTTATCTTGTTTCACAGAATTCTGAAGGACTTGAATGTTCTTCAGACATGTTGGATTCACATACATAAAATCCTCAGACATACTTGACTTTTGAACTTGTATTTAATTAGTTGTCAGTAGGTTTAGAGTATAAACAGTTCTACACTCATTCCTCATGAAATCTTTGGACATGACTGAGTGTGTGCATGTCGATCATGTGATCTCTCCAGGTTACACGGGTAGTCTTGCTGTGGGTAAACAATCACTTCAATGACTTTGAAGGTGACCCTGCCATGACTCGCTTTCTGGAAGAGTTTGAAAACAATCTGGAAAAAGAAGTAAGTGTAAAATATAAAGAAATGTGGAAAAAATGTTTAATTCAGATTTCTAATTCATTTTCCTCATTGTGTTTCTTTAAGAAAATGTGTGGGCACCTAAGACTGTTAAACATAGCATGTGCTGCTAAAGCCAAGCCACGGCTGGTGACACTAACCAAGCCATCCAGGGACTCTCCACTGGCATTCAGCCTTCTCGGAGGTCAGGAGAAAGGTTTCCGCATCTTCATCGATGCTGTGGAGCTTGGAAGCAAAGCAGCAGAAGCTGGCCTTAAGCGTGGAGATCAAGTGAGTTGGTTCTCTCCCTCTTCTAACGTCACCAACATCATACACTTTAAATTTTGAGCAGAACATTTCCTGGTAGTGCCGTTTTTATTCAAAGCTCATTTAGCTGCAGAACACTTTTTCTCTGTAGGCTACAGCTGTGCAGACTAACACTTCAATTTTCCTGTTTAAGTAAATTTTTGTTGTGAAATTGGTTTTACATTTTGCTCTAACTAGCATTAAAAGGCCTCTTCTGAAAGTCTCAAATTGAACTTGCCAGTAGCTCTGGGCACCCTGTGTTGGCTTTTTTTCCTCACAACTTGACTGCTCAACTATTTTCACACTCTGCAGTCCTTAGGGCTTTAAGCAAAGTCCCTTAATCCTTGAAACCATCTTGAGAGCGTCTGGATGCGAGTTAAGCCCTCTTGACTCCAAACATCCCCTGCAGCTGTTTCCTCAAAAGGAAGCAGAGAAACTGACATCCATAAGGAAACATTCTCTCTCTGATATATTCTTCATACTTTCTTTTTTATACAGCTGTAGTTAATGTCATCATTCACCCAGTACCTGCTCTTTCAGAGCTTTAGTATTAATCTTATTGGTTTTTATCATCTTCTCAGTAGTGAACTCGCTAATCACTCCTGATCCTAAAAGAGTAGTTTGACTTTGAAAAAGTAAGCATTTACTGGCCTCACAAGAGCAGATGATGGCCTGTATGTCCATTACGGTTAAAGGCGACTTCCTCTTCTGCCAAAGAGGAAGTGGCAGCTCAGTTAGATGATCGCATTTAAATGCAAATATCCGGCACCTATACAATGGTCAGGTTATGAAGACAAAGACGGGGCTATTTGGAAATGAAAAGGAAGAGTCCTATTAATGTCAAAACCATATGTTGATGATATTTATATCCTGTAGAACATGCATGAGCTTGGGAGTTTAGGGCCTCTTTATTATCTAGTTAAACTGCATAGTTCAGAGATTAATATTTGCAGTGATATAACGCGGCCTACAAATTGGCCTGATGTGGTGATAACAGATGAGTTTTAGTACTTCCTGTGCTGGAGTTCTGTCAGAATTTAAAAGGCACTCTGTGGTCAAATGATGTTCTTGTGTTTTAAATCCATGGGCCAGATATGATCATCAAACACACCAGGAGGTTGGATTTTTAATAATTATGCATAAGGTGCTAATTTAGACATGATTCTTTTTCTAACAAGGAGCTGGCAGTGTGCTCAATTCATTATTTTTGCTCTTCTTTTTGTTAACAAAAGAATGCAAAATGTCAAGGTCCCAGTTTTGGAGCCACAACATAATTTTTGTGTTTCTTTATGGGTTAGAAAAAGAGGACGCTATTGACATCATCAGCTCTATTGTTTTTCCTCAGTCTATTCTCGATCAGATGTATAACCCTTTAAGTTGCTTAAAATTGTGCTCATGGCTTTCTCCATCTTTCCTGCAGATCTTGGAGGTCAATGGACAGAATTTTGAGAATGTTCAGCTCAGCAAAGCTAATGAGATTCTGAAGAACAACACCCATTTGTCCATAACTGTGAAGACAAACCTTTTAGGTAAAGCATATTGTAAGTTATGATATCTTGTCAACATCCACCAAATCACTGGTGATCCTATGACGATTAGAGAGAGAGTTATAGTTATGTCAACAGCAATCACTTTTTTTTGTTGACTTGTCCAAATGTTAAAGCTTATTACTGAACAAAAAGCATGTGGATAAACTAATAAAAAGGTTAAGATCTGAGAGTAGATGTAGGAATACTACAGTGTCTTTAATGACCCTTTTCTTTCCTTTTACATTAACACCTGTCTAGTGTTTAAAGAGCTGCTAACAAGGCCAGAACACGACCATGATTTGGATTGTGAGGAGGAACATGATCGAAAGAATGGGGCACCCCACCTTCCAAAGATTGGGGACATTAAGAAGGCCAGTCGCTACTCGATCCCCGACCTGGCAGTGGATGTGGAGCAGGTGATGAGTCTGGAAAAGGTCAGCAAGAAAGCAAAGACCAACACAGTGGGAGGACGCAACAAGCTGAAGAAAATCTTTGATAAGACGCTCACCAGCATCCTGCCCCCTAAACCATACAAGTAAGAAGACCTCATTACTTTTAACCGTCACGACTTAATTACCAATAAAAGCAGCTTTGCATGTCTAGATTTCAGTGAGAAATAAATATTTAGGACTCTGTGCAGCATTTATATTCAGTAGACTCTGAACTCTGTGATTTTAATATCAATAGGAAATCAAAGCCTCTTGATTGGAGCTGATTAGATGCAGAAACTTCGTTTCTGATTTTTCCTGACACTTTGACATGTTGCTCTGAACGATTATGCAACGTGCACCTGCATTTTTATCAGTCTGCCAATCAAATGCAAGGCTGAATCAGAATTACTTTGAAATGCCGCAAATAAGAAAGAAAAGGTATTTGTTCAAATAAATTTAGTTCCTAATGAGAGCAGGTGTCCATTTCCCACAGGGCACCATTGAAAACGTCTTTTAGCTGAGCCATATATAACCTTTGCTTTCACTGCTGTGAAACTCCAGGATAATTAACATGGAATACATCATATGGACTGCACAGCCAAATGTGTTTCCATCCTCCTTCTCTTCCAAACACAAATATCGCCCTCTGCCTGTTGTTAACAGAACTGCTATCTATAACAGACTCCCCTCTGCTCGCCCTCTCGTTTCCATAGCGACGTTTGCGTGGGCCAATCACAGGATGACAGCATAGTGGGAATGAAGCAGTCCAAACAGATCCCACCAGCTCTGCCAGTCAGCGGAAACCTCTCGTCGTCAAACCCAGACCTCCTGCAGTCACACCACCGCATCCTCGACTTCAACAACCAGCCTGGTGTGTATTTAACCACTACATGGAGCTCGGGAAGTTTGTGGCATCAACACATTTAGAATGTTCAAAAATACTCTGCCATTATGTCATTTGTGGGGAACAAACAAAGAACCGCTCACTCAAATGGCGTCAGATGACTAAACATAATAAAATAGCTACCTAAACAGTTGTTCCTCCACTGCTCACACATAGCACAAAATAAACAAGAAAAATGCAGTAATATGGTCTTTATATTAACTTCTGTCCATTATGTTGTTTATATCCTTTCAGTCCCATTGATAATGAGTAAGTATCGTCTCTCCTTGTGATCCTGCTTCTCCTGGAAAAATCATATCTTTGGCAGTGCTTTCAACCTTTATGTCAGACTTATAGACATTAATCTGTTAGAGTGCAGTCGCTTAATCTGGAGTCATAGTAGTACAAAGCTAATTCAGTAAAACAGCAGTGCAATTTTATATTTCCTCTGGGCTCATATGTTTTCATGGAGATTTATCTGATCTGCAAGATGCTGGTGTGGCTTTTGCGGGCGTGGGATTGGTGATAAGCTCTTGATAAAGCTTGACAGTCAATCAGTTAATCAATCACTGTTTCTTAATCGGATTCAAGCTCTTCAGATTTCAGGAGAATGATGGTAACATATACCACAATTACCATTGTTTGTCTCTCCCAGATATGTCAGACCAGGTGTTGCGAGTCTTCAAGGCGGACCAGCAGTCTCGGTATATTATGATCGGGAAGGACACAACCGCTAAAGAAGTGGTGGCCCAGGCTATCAGGGAGTTCGCCCTGACTGCTGCACCGGAGGCTTATTCGCTGTGCGAGGTGTCTGTCACACCTGAGGGCGTCATCAAGCAGAGACGGTTACCAGATCAGCTTTCTAAGCTAGCTGACAGGATTCAGCTGAGTGGCAGGTAATGACTTCTTTATCTTGATGTTCAAACTGCAACATCAAAAGTAAAGAGTAGGAATAAAGACGGGTTTGAAAAGGCCAGTTCCACCATTCCTTGCTTGTCTCCTTTACATGGATGGTGATGTGCAGTATAGTTTTTATTGCCGTTTAAGTAGGACAAAACATCTTAAATCCAAGAAACCATCCTTTTTAAAGAAAGGATAAATAAGAATGAATTGGGATGGAGTGATTGACCTCAGTTCATCTTTTCAAGATCCCAGTGGATTAAAACTCATTGTTTTATCAACAGCATTAAAAAAAATACTAAGCTTTTTACAGTCCGAGCAGAAAATTCTCATAGATACAGAGAGAAAAAATGGCAAATGTTTAACCAGTATTTTGCAATCCATCTTCCTCCATCAGATACTACTTAAAGAGCAACATGGAGACAGAGACGTTATGTTCCGATGAGGATGCCCAGGACCTCCTTCGAGAAGGACAGATTTCTTTGTTACAGCTCAGCACCGTGGAGGTGGCCACGCAACTCTCCATGCGGGCCTTTGAACTTTTCTGCGCCATCGAGCCCACCGAATACATCGATGACCTTTTCAAGCTGCGCTCAAAGACTGGCTCTGTCAGCCTCAAGCGCTTCGAGGAGGCAATTAACCACGAGACCTTCTGGGTGGCCACTGAGGTTACGCGGGAACCGAACCAGCTAAAACGCATGAAGATCATCAAGCACTTCATCAAGATAGCCCTGCACTGTCGCGAGTGCAAGAACTTTAGCTCCATGTTCGCAATCATCAGGTGAGACAATGAATGTGCAATAAACTGATTTCTTTTACATTTTGGGTCATATTTTTAAGTCAAATTAATATACAGAAGTTCTTCTGTGTTGTGATGTCTGTACAAATTGTTGTACTGATTATATATTCACTGCCACGGCTTTCCCTATAGTGGTCTGAACCTGGCTCCAGTCTCCAGACTAAGAGGCACATGGGAGAAGTTGCCAAGCAAATATGAGAAACTGTTCGGGGACCTGCAGGACCTCTTCGACCCTTCAAGAAACATGGCCAAGTACAGGAATGTCCTCAGCAATCAAAACCTCCAGCCACCAATCATCCCCCTGTTCCCTGTCATCAAGAAGGACCTCACCTTTCTACATGAAGGTAAAACAAAATGAAACGACCGACTTTATAAAATAATTATGGATTACCTCAATTTTTTGTGATTGGCAGTATTTTTGCAAAGTTCCTGTGTGGCAGATTTACTCTAGTGTTTTTACATTATTTTATATCTGTTTGGCTCAGATCTTTCACTCGGTAAACATTACTATATTAGACACTACACAACACACACAGCTGCAGATTCTGCACAATTTTTCTGAAAGGAGCCAGTGTTGCCAGATACTGCTGATAGTTTCCAGCTCAAAATCTATTCAAAAACTGCCAATATGCACACAGGCCCACAGAGTTTAATCACCACTGCACTGCATCAGATTCAAGAGCAGTGCACACTAGCGCTCAATCATACACAAAACAAAAAACTATTCTTACTATCGGTTTGCAGGCAAACACTTTTGCATTATCACCTATCATTTAAAAGCAAACTAAATAACAATCCATTTTGCAAAGTCGGACACCCAGGCATGCACACACATACAACCCATTTATATACTATATATATTTCTAATCTTAAAAAGTGTGTATTGTTATTGAAACACAGGACAACTGGCTGTTTATCATGTAAGCTTTTCTCAATGTGAAAGCCAACTATAAGTAGGTAACTGCTTCTTGGTTTCAGTGTGGTTCTTTAAATATTGCAGTTAGCTTTCCTATCATCTGCTATACATGGAATTATCCATAACTTTAAGTTTACCTCTCTGACCAACTTCTTTATGTACAGACCACCAGTGATCTCAAAACAAATTGTTGATTTGCTGTATAAATGCAGTAACCACAAACAGAATCTAATTGTTTCAAGGGGTAAAAATGCTTCACGGTTAGCCATATTTATCGCCGTAGTCCTCTGTCACTTGCTGTAGTTTTTAAACTCTGTAATTGATCGTTTTTTTCTTTGGCTTTTTCAGGCAATGACTCTAAAGTGGACGGCCTGGTGAACTTTGAAAAGCTGCGGATGATTGCCAAAGAAATTCGCCATGTTGGTCGCATGGCGTCTGTCAACATGGACCCAGCCCTTATGTTCCGAACAAGGTAAGATATTTAGGAAACAAAGTCTGATCTTTAGATTCTTAAGGACCCTTCACTCTCCCTGTAGGACCAGCCGGCACTACGCTGACTAACCAGCTCTGTGGGGTTAGCCGGTTCACGTAGATTGAGTCCAATTCCTGCCTCACGCTTTTCCTTTAAGCAGCTGTTCTCTTTGACAACTGCTTCGTCTAGCAACTGTTTCCTTGTACACATTGTTGGCATAAGATGTGCTCAGTGCTTCTGTGAAAGTCTCTTTGTCTAATCATGTCTCCTCTTAGTCGAGTGTTACCATTTGATTTCCTTTCTGCTGACTTTCATGTGGGTCTGTTGGTGAAATTGCTTCTCTTTGGTGATCTTGGTGGTCTTTCCTGTCCTAAGCTTTGTCTCCTCTCTCTCTTTCAACTCATCCACCCTTTGCCCTCCATGCTTCTCTGCTCATGGCACACACCCTCTAGGAAGAAGAAATGGAGAAGTTTAGGGTAAGTTTGGTGACCCTACAACCTTTGCCCTCTCTGCACCATGCACCCTTTTTTTTCCTGCAGATTTGCGTGCTTTTTGAGTTAAATCCGTTTTGAGTTAAATCCTTCTAACTCTGCTTGACGCTAACCTATGGATATTCAGTGGAACAAAGGTCACATATGCCAACATGAGGTTATAGTGAATTATTTGAGAATCACTAAATAATGGGAATAATTGGAATACTGTTTACGACATGAGATAAACACATGCGTGACAAATAAAAGGATTATATCCAGCTACCAAGTAGCAAATGTGACCTTTTTCTGATATGTTGTTTCCCAACATAATGCATGCAGCTTCTGTTTTAAAGTTTTGCCTGTCTTTGATGGTCGATCTGCTTATCAAAGCTCCAAACAGCCAGAGATTCTGGAACTGAAATACTCTGCAACATGCTTTACATTCTTGTGGTCAAATGGGACACCATTGTGCACAGCCAACATTTAATGGGAAACATGCAGATTTACATTTCATTCACTCAAAAACAAAAGAAAGCGGTTTGACATCTGCAGCTCATGATTAGCACCTTAATCTCGTAAATACAACATCCATGCCTTGTAGCTGTGAGATTGTTGTCTCGTAATAATATCTCTGAAATGTGGTTTGTTGTTGTTATAAGGTACTACTTGAAATTTTTTATTGAAACGTGATAAATTTATTTCCACCATCGCGAACAAATGTGGCTTCTCATTGACTAACACCACAGGCGACTGCCAGGGTGCTGTTTGGCTGAGACCATGTGCAAAAAAACATGCTTTTACTACTACTACTACTACTACCAGCTCTGACTCAAACCACAGAAATGTAAACTATGACTGCACTACGCTAGCCCCTCTTTCTACTGCCCTGTTGTTTGACTGCAGCCGTCATCGCTCAACCTCTCCCTCTGCCGTCTGGAATGTCTGGAATGTTTTGGAGTTGGGAGAAATGACTAAAGCTGGTCTCTGCATGTTCGAGTTTTAAATACCACGCTCCCTATGCGGCCTCATAGTGTCAAATATACAGTTTTACTTCAAAATCAAGTCATTTACAGTCTGAAGCCACACCTTTTTTTTTGTCTTCTTGTTTGTGCGTCTCTGTTCCTCTCTATGTTCATGTGCACAAGCAGGTCGCTAAGTCAGGGTAGCGCCAACGCCGCCGTGCTTGACGTCACACAGACAGGTGGGCACAAGAAGCGGGTGCGACGCAGTTCCTTCCTAAACGCCAAAAAGCTTTACGAGGATGCCCAGATGGCTAGGAAGGTCAAACAGTACCTGTCCAACCTCAGCCTGGAAACGAATGAGGAGAGTCTTCAGACACTCTCCCTACAGTGTGAACCCTCCATTAGCACATGTGAGTTTGTTGCAGTTTTTCTTCTTTCTTTCAGTTTTTGGGGTTTGGGGAGTTTAATAGGGGAAAATATGAAGTTACAAAAGATCGAAGCTTGAGCGCAATTCTCCTGAGACATACTCATACCCTCACACATACTTCACTGCTCAGAATCAGATCCTCAAGGACTCACTGGCATGAAATAAAAATCTGAGTTACTTAGCCAATTTCCTCATTGTTGATGCCAAACCTCCTTTGTTGTCATTGCACTGGGGAGTAGTGGTCAGAGAGACTCTGTGAGCCGTGCAGCTCAGTTTTGATCGATACAAAAGTCTTAAGAGCAAATTTCTTCCTTCTAAGCCCTTTTTAACACAATTACCTATTAAATGTAACTTGAAGTATATCTATACAGAATACTTACTTATTTCCCACTACTCAGTGCCCAAAAATGCAGGTGGGAAACGACCAGACACTTCTCCAGTTGTGCCCAGAGCTGCGAGTCAACAAAGGGGTCAGCTGGCCAAAGGAAACCAAGCTCTCCAGGTCCCCGCTGTGGCCCTTTACCCATCTCGAAAGAAAGTGCAAGTCAAGGATCTGCCACCATTCGGTAAGATGAAGATTACACATAACCGTCAGTATTCAAGTATCATTTGAGTTTAATGGTATTTCCCCCTCCCATCATTGAGAGAATAGGATATGTGTTATTCTAGAATAAAGCTTTATATGATTGTGAACATTCATTGGATAGTTATGAAGGTAAAATTCTTGGGATGTGAATCTTTTTATTTTTTAATTGGTTTAGCTTTCCGTACAGGTGGATACAGTAATGGTGCATGATTGCATGAACAGCATTCTGTATAGATCTTCTGTTCCCTTGTCCTTGTACATGCTCCTATTACCTTGTCCTCCTCATCTTTTTATTTGCAGACAATGGCTGATTCAGCTTCTTTGTGACAGTGCTGCCACCAAGAGGCTGGCTGGCAATAAGCAAATGCAAAAAAAATCCCAGACAATGCTGCTTAGCGTCCCAGCACCCTTGGGGTCTGGCAGTGTTCCTCATGTTAATTCTGCTCATCTTTTTGCAAATGTCCACAGGCACCAGTTCCCCGCAGTCTCTGAAGAAGATCCTCGCTCTTTCAGAGGAGGGGAGCGAAAGACACCGGAGGCAGCCAGAGGACACCATGTCCAATGCCTCCTCCCAGCTCTCCTCCCCTCCCACCTCCCCCCAGAGCTCGCCCAAGAAGGGTAAGCCAATAATCCTCCCTCCCTCTGACACCACTCTCCAGACTGCAGTCATGGTGAGCTACAATTGCCACCTAGTGGCTGCCGCTATGTACTGCATGATGTATGAGAGACCAATATGATATTAAAGTTGACAGATGATGCGTGAATAAGAGTTAATTTATACTATAAAACAGATACTGTATGGATTTAGTTTAGTCAGCCAGGTTTAAGTTGTGTAAAAACAGAGATAAGCACTTAGAATTTGAATGCTTTTCTCATAATCACGCACTACTTTTACCAATGACTATGAATTAAAAACTGTAAATTCTGATCTACTGCAAGTACATAAATGTATCGTCTTCCACTTCTTCCTCGCTCCTCCAGGTTACAACAGGATGGGAGACACCTACTCAGACTCTGGTCACAGTGAGATCTCCTCTCGCTCCAGTCTCGTTAGTAACTCCTCTTTCGACATGGCCCAGGAGGAGAGGAGACTTCGTCACTCCGGAGTAGTCGGGGATTCTCACATTGGAGGATCAAGGCTGGAACGAAGAGCCACAACTGACCCCGATCAGTACAGTCTTGGGTAGGATTACTGAGAACTTGATAAGTGAATCATTGTTGTTTTTGTTTTTTTTCCCTTCTGAGGTGAAGCGTCGTCATCTTTTATTCTTTTTTTAAACATCATATCCTAGGTCATATTCATCAATGCAGGACTGTCGGGGCATTTATGCTGGCGGCCATACAGTACTCTCCTCACCCAGTTCAGAGGAACTGACTCAGGATCAGGGAGACCGTGTTTCCCTCGATGCTGCAGACAGCGGCCGCGGTTCTTGGACATCCTGTTCCTCTGGCTCCCACGACAATATCCAGACGATGCAGCAAGGACGCAGTTGGGAAACTTTGGCCTTTGGCGGTGGTGGAAGTGGAGGCGGCATTGGAGGGCTCCCTCCTGGCGGGCCAGATGCCATATTAGGGGGATCAGCTGCACTGTGGGCAGCACAGGCAAGGGGGAGCTGGGCATCTGCCAGCTCCTCCTCGTCCTCAGCAGCATACTGGGGGGAGGACTCCGAGGGGGATACCGGCACCATAAAGAGGAGAGGAGGAAAGGACGTCAGCACCGACCCAGAAACAAGTAGCATCACATCCACCGGGTCAGAGGAGGCAAAGCAGCTCGGCCGACCATCTCCATCACCCATCACTGTCGGAAATAAAGGCGGCCTTTGTGAGTGACTAAGTTTTTGTTTCGTTTTTTTTATGCACCATTACGAGTCGGACTGTTTACTGACTTGATTGCAGTGACTTTCTAAAGTCTTTGTTACCTCACAGTCATGAGGAGACTCCTCAAGTTTGTGCACCTCACAAAGAAACCTACACGTACCTGCTATATAACACATTTTAGACCTAAAATAATGTACAGATTCCAGTGGTGCTGAATTCTTTCCTGGCATGTCCTAATATAAATATTAAACCTTATACATTCATCCTGCAGCAGCTCAGTGTCTCATTACTGCGGCCTGCCCCACAGTTTGAGAAACATTGGATTAAACAAACAAATGTCTTTGTGGCTTTAGTTTGTAATCCAGCTCATTTTAACCAATGATGTTTGGGCAGGCTGTGGTTGTCCCTGCAAAGACCAAGAGGGAAATGTATCTGGAAACCATCAGCTAGCATTTTGCTTTTCACAGTTTTGTTGTTCATTCCTGAACAGTGACTCGGGTCCAGAATTTTGGCTGCGATGTCCACTGGCTGCGCTGAATGGGGCCCAAATATCAGTCAACCCACAGGCCAAATCATTAGAGGATAGCTGTTGGGTTCCCAGATTGCTTCTCATTTAACTCTTGGCAAAAAAAAAGAATGAAATGGGCATAGATCCCAAAATTATGAGGTAATCCTACATCCTATCGAAGGATTGTTTTTCTTCTGTGCAGCAGAGCAGTCCAGATTTGAGATGGTAACATTTAATGACAGCATCTTTAAATGTTGCATCTCATCCTCTTTTTCCCTTAATTTTTGATTTGTCATCTTCTGCTGTCGCTGCCAAAAACGCTTCATAAAACACATCATCACGTGTCTCTCTTTTGTATCCCCTCAGCCCGAAAAGAGGGCCGTTACCGTGAGCCTCCCCCGACTCCCCCCGGCTACACTGCCTTGACCATCTCTGACCTCGCTGAGGGACAGCACTCAGCCCAGTCTGTTCCCATGTCCACAGCGACCCACTCAGGCCGGCGGCCACCAGACTACACTACGGCTCTGCAGCGCTCGCGCATGGTCACCCAGTCGCCCGACTCCCACCAGGCCCACCAGGGGGCCAAGCACCGGGCAGGCGGCCTCCACCGCACTCGCTCACCCGCCGAGGAGCAAGAGCCTGAAGAGGAAGAGGAGGGTGAGTCCTTGTCTTCCAAACTAGTCGCTCTGAGGAAGCCAGTGGCACAGCATACACCAGAGACTCCCAGACCATGACAGTGTGTGTACGGGGGTTAACAGGCAGGGCCCGACTCCCCAAGGCAGGTAAAAACTAATTTATCAGGTTGCCCCCTCCACACCAGTGAACCTGCATGTCAGCAGAGATGCATACAACCCCCACAGCACTAGTAGCACCGGTCCCACTCCAAATTCCAAAAGTCACTGGAAATTAAATTTGATCTGGAAAGTCTTGATTTGGAGTGGGACCCTCACCTCTTACCCGCAATATGTCATCATGCATGAGTCATACTTACTGGATTAGACTCACTACTTCTCTGCCACCACGCATTCTGCTCTTCTTCTCTCACTTTCTCACACACCGTGTCCAAACAGCATTCATCAGCAGACACGGTGTTAGGATCCTCTCACCCATGCAGTCAGTGCCTGAAAACATGCACCTCCATTCACCTGCACCAGCACACCCCTGACTCGCCTGCAGTGACTCTGAACATACTGTGTGTCGTTGTAGTGGTCTGGTGTAGCGAAGAAAGATCAAAATGTGGATAGATGTGCACTTGTTAAGTAATAAATGTATAGACTAACATGAAAGGCTAGTTTAAAGAAAGGCTGATGTGCAAGCTTGTAAAAAGGTTTTAGTTTAGGTAGTTCAGTATGCCTGCCTAATAAACAGCTGTTTGTTTACACACTAAAAGCAGCCACAAAAAGAAATTTGACACGCAACATGAAAATATTTTACCAAAATTGACATTTTAGAACCTTTTCCCACCCACAAGCTGCCTGTCCTTGATTTCATCCATGATTTGATGCAAGAAATCAAGAACTGGAACTGAAACAGACCAAAACTACAAACATTTTTCCAACTTTTTGAGAGTGATGACTCAAAGAAGGCCATTGGAAGGAAAACAGTGAGAGAAACGGTAAAAAGAATTTCCTGCCGCTAATATACACAAAAAATCCCGATGTCAACAAATCATCTCCAACTTGTTAAAAATAGATACTGCAGTGCATTTCCAGTGGAGGACATTTCCAACTGGAAGCTTAAATAAAGCACATGGAAATGTTAAAGCTGTTTTTTGGCTTCGTATGTCAGAGGTTTCAGCATCTGCAGCAAAGTGAAGTGTTGGAGTAGTGAATGTATCTGTGACATCTGCCATGCAATCTAACATGGCTCATGGCAGAGTTGGCATCAGCAAGTTGTTAATTATCTGGGCAGTATCTCAGGCAAAACTATCCGAGCACCATGCCAAATGCACTTGGAGAAAATGCTTTGAAAATCCTTTATTGCTTTACATTTCGAAAACGCCACAGTCTGCCTTCAGATGACTGAGCAGCACTGTTGTACTGCGGTGTTTGTGTCCAATCAAACAAGTTTAGTCAAGCTTTGAAAACTTCCCTCGAAAACTTCAGATTGATGTGAGTTAAAGCTGATCAGAAAAATGATGGCATTCTTTGGTAATATTGTTGGCATTACATTAAGTAAAAGCTTCCTGAGCGGTGTCTCAGGCAGGTTTTCATTCTACACATTGCCACTGCTGACCTCATTAACTCTTCAACTTTATTACATTCTAGCTCATGCATTCATTCAAGGTAACCGATGCCTATCTTTGTTTCTCTCTCCACAGAGGATGAACAAGTGTCAGCGGTTTGAGGGACAACAGTGGACATCTTTTTGCAGTAACTTGAAGTGCCCCTTGTTCAGGGTGGACAGGATTAAAGAGACAGGCAAACAGACTCATCCGTGACATAACGTGCCTGCCTCCTCCACTTGATTCTCCCTCCTTATTGGTGGATTCCTCTGCTCATCTCCCTCCTCCGCCTTAAAGCATCATGGAGGGTTGAATGACCCTGCATGCAAAAACAAAAACAAAAAAGATAAAAATACTGTGAAGAAGAGATGGAGAGAAGGTCAAAGACGATTTTAAAAAATGCCTGGCACTTTGGAAAAAATAAGACTGCAGAACCCTGACTGGCACTGGGTTTTGGGGGGGCTTCACCCAAGCCACAGACACACAAAACCACATAAATATTACTGTTACAAACAGGACTGACTTCTTAAGACTGCCCACCACCACCGCCGCCGCCACCAGTAATAAAATCCCAGACCTTAGTGTTGACACCACAGCATCATGACGTGTTGAGCTTCATCTGCACTTTCTCATTTTCTACTTTCTAAAAAAAAAAAAAAAAAAAAAAAAAAAAAAAAAAAGACCCAACCCAAGAACAAATAAAACTACAAAACAGACTAATGCTGAAGACGGAGAGAAACGGTTGACTTGACTCTTAATTTTCAACTTCCCACTAGATTTTTTTTTTGGTTTGTTTGAGTTGTGTTTCTTTGATTGCACTCTGGGGGACCGAAAAGAGAAATCAAGTCAGCCCATAATTTCTCTGCCTGGACTGAAATGACCCATCTGTTGCTGAGGGTTTGAACTCTGAATCCAGTATTATCTCATGTCACGTATGAAAGCTAATCACTTGTTGGTTTAAATCAAAGAGCTAGGAGGAGGACTCAGGTGGGAGAACCAACGTGCACACATGCACAAACAGACAGAGACACACACACAATACATTTTGCATACCCAAGCATAAACAAAATCACAGTTTAATTCAAAAGCTAGCACTTTCAGCACAATATCAGATTTTACCAGATGCTTGCTGCCACCCCCCCACCCCCCCGGATAACAGGGTATGAGTGAAGCATATCAGCAGAGTGTGTCTGGTTATATCTCAGTCTTTGTATCATCTAGTTGCTTTGTTTTACACTGAGACTTTTGATGGCGATTATAGGAAAAAGCACAGAGATGACCCACTGGGAATCACATGAGGCTTAACTGTGTTGGTCTCTACAGTGCATCAGAGGCACACAAGCGAGCTAAATCGAGAAATCTAAGAATCATAGTACAAACTGAGCAGCAATCGAGCACTAATATTAGAAAAGTTGCCTTTCATTCCATTATTTTTACTGATGAAAGGATCACAGACCAGCAGCAGGGCTGATTTTGTTTTAAAAGCTGCCAGTGTGACTCTACCTTTGCAACATGATCTTGTAATAGTCTGAATATACACCCATTTCCCTTCCAAATGAAAATATCCACTGATTCAGATTTGGCTTCTTCCCGACACAAACACACGCCACATCTCATGAATGTCCAAGCGCCTTATGATGCCATGATTGCAAACATTTCATTCGGCGGTTGTCCCCAATGTGAATCACCTTGTTTCAAGAGCAAGCCTTGAATCAAGCAATAGTGGAATGAAATGCCTTATTCAAGATACTTCCCCTGGCTTTTTTTTGTTTGTTTGTTGTTTTATTTCGTGGTGTGTGTAGTTGTTGTTTGTGTTGTGTGTAATAATATTATATATATATATAATATATATGTATGTATGATGTATGTATTATTTATGTATTGTATGTATGTATATAGTATATTAATATATATATATATAATATATATATAAATATAATATAATAATAATTATAAATATAATTATTAGATATATTAGTAATTATTAGTAGAACCAGGAAGTCGGGCATTTTTTTTGGTTTTGTTTGTGGCTTCAGGTGGTTTTATCAGACTGTGTTATAGTATAGTAGATCTTTTTGTCTCGGCATAGAGCGACCCTGCCTCCCTCCCTCTGTTGTTATGCTACCAGATACATCCTCAGAAACTCTCCTCATCTGTTACAGACATCAGCTCAGTGGATGCTGTGTGTATATCGCTAATGCCTGCGTCCACTTTTACATCATATCTCAGCATCAATGGAAGCGACTGAAAGTTTTGATCTTTTTCTTTTCTTTGACTCCGGTGAGGTAGTTGACAAATGAAGTACTTTTTTTTTTTGTTTTGTTTTTAATCCAAGGCTGCCAATTTAAACGATTAAGAATCCTCTTGTGAAACGTAAACTTTTTGTTGTTCTTCAGAGTGGCACTGATCACATTGATCAGTCTTTGAATGAGTGCAGTGTTTTCCACTGTGTTCTGTGACTTCGCTCTAATCATTTTTTCCCTAGGGTTTCTTTTGTTATTGTATTTTTTTTTTTTTTGTAATGGTTGCAGATGGATTGTTAATAATTTGTTTGTAATACAGTGGTGACATGCATCATTCACGTTCATTCAACTCTGAAGATAATGTGCATATTAGCGGGCCGAGTCCTAGTTCGAAAAACAAAACGTTGCACAACAATGTACAAGCGTAAAGATAAGTGTAGTAGGTAGAACTGCTACTCCGTTTGATGTGTGATGTCAGTGAGAAATGTACATTTAGCTGGTGATGATCTTCTTTTCTTCATTCTTTCTTGTACTACTTTGACCTGTATGTCTTTTAAAAAGACAATTGGTGGAGTACGTATCGGTTGTTTTTTGTATTTTTAATACAATAATTGTAAATATTGGTTATATTTTTGTTCAAATGTACTATGTTTATGCCTCAACATCCAGTTTATATGAAGCTGGGAATCAATAAAACTGCATAAAGAATCAACACCTAGGTTTAAATTCACTTATTCATTTCTTCTGCATTTAAATGTCTTTCTTTTCATTTTTCTTTCTAAGGATTTTTTCCCCTTTTTGTCTCCAGATGCCGTCTAGTGTTTGCACAAGTCATGGAAGCAACTTGAAAAGTGTAACGCTCATCCTTTTCTATCTGACCACAGAGTGTCAAGAGTTAATAAAAGAGATATTGAAGTCTCCTCTTGCTTTTATGTACTTGTTTTGTGTTATCTTGTGTTATCTTGTTACTCTGAGAATAGTACAAGTCCCCACTCTAATTTTTCTCTTGGTGTTCTAATTTACTTGATTCCTCATTCGTTTCTTCAATTAGCCGTTTCATTTTCTAATAAAGTTCTACAGTTCCCATAATAAGAGAAGTAAATTGATGCCAATACATCTGACCAGTGTTGTGGAAATGATGCGGGTTTTTTTTTTTTTTTATTATTATTTTATTTCTCTTGAAACTGAGACATTTAATTCATCCCTTCGTTGTTCATGATAACTGCGGAGATTTATATTTTTCCTGATTTGGGGAAAAATGGAAAGATGAAGCAACACAACGATGGCAGGCAGCGTTATATAAAATTTGTTATTTTCCAAGGGGACTGGAAGGGACTCTGGTGGTTCAGAAGTTTGAAAATGTTAGCTGTGCGTCCTGTTTTAACTTCAGTTCTATTTTTGTTGTTTTCAGTTTAGTTTGATACTTCTCAGAGTGACTTTGTTCATTTCTTATGCATTCTTCAGTGATATTAAGTTACTTTTAAGTTTAGTTTTCATGAAATGTGTGATGGCAAGATAAGAATTAGAAATATGTATAGGATTGTCAGAATATACACTCAGAGGCTATATACACACTTTATTAGCTGCAGCTGTTCAACTGCGCACATTTAATCAGCCACATGGCATCTCTGGTAAGTGGCAGTTCTCCGAGTAAAAATATTGATGCAATGCAAGAGAGCAGAGGAGAATTGCCAGATTGTTTTGACCCAATAGGAATGCAAGTGTGACTAAAAAAACTTTGTAACAACCAAGCTGTGAAGAAGAGCATCTGTGAGTGCCAGACACATTGAACTTTAAAGGAGACTGGCTATAGTGGTGGAGGACCACACTGTGTGCCATTCCAGGGTCAATAAATCTGGACAATAGAAGATTGGAAAAACATTGCCTGTTCCGATGAGGCTCGGTTTCTGTTGTGACATTTGAATGGTAAGATCAGCATGAAAGCATGCATCCATCCATCCAGCTGTGTCATGCATCAGAAGATGGGTTTGGTGGTGTTTTTCGTTTTTTAACAAAACACTACTCAAATGGGTCACCAGACCTCAAAGTGAAAGAGAACATTTTGCATGTGGTGGAATGGGAGATCAAACCTGCAGCAACTGTGCGATGCTATCATGACACCAAATCTTAGAAATGTTTCCAGCACCTTGTTTAATCTGATCCACAAAAAAATTAAAATGGTTCTGAAGGCCAAAGCGGATCCAACCGAGTAATAGCAATGTACCTAATGGCCACAAGAGGGCACTCTAACAGTTAAGATCTGAACTCAGTTTGCTCAGACATTAAAGTGAGTGTTGTAATGCATAGAAAATATGTTAAATTGATTGTAATTGCTCAGATTTTGAAATGAAGAATGATTTTATTAGAAACCCAGTTTAAAAGAAAGCCCTTTTGTTGTGGGGGAAATCAAACTTAAATGTAACTAACCCGTGTTGTCATAGCCTAATAGCGTCTTTTTTTTTTTTTTTCTTTTTCTTTCTTTTTCCCCCAGAGCCTCGGTTCAGGTGGGGAGACTCCCTGTGCTCATGCAGTCTGAGATTATTCCGGCTGTTGCGGTGCTAGTCGGCACCATATCACAGCTCGACATTTCCAGTCCTCATGAATAATGCAAGCTCAATGGTCCTGGTTCTTGCTATCATGGAGCCGAGGGCCCCAATTTGTCACACTATCCAAAATATGATGCACATCCCCAACACGAGAGTCGAGAAGCTGCCTTCACATCCACACACATGTACAGACTGGTAAATAAAGGTATAAATATCTGTTTCACTGCTCCAGTTCTGTGTCTATTCTCAGCCTCTCATAGATAAAGAGAAACAAGAGGAGAGGGGAGATGCAACTTTTTTTTGCCAAATTCCAATACTGAGCCATTTTCAAATTGGTTCAAATTAAACTGTCAAAATGGCTACAAAGATGCTTAAGTTGCCTGAGGTATTTTGGTTAGTTACCATATTTCTCAAGGGACACAGGTTTTATTAACTGCTGCCGATTTCTGTTATCTCGGGTGTTATAAAACCAGTTAGTTACAGAAAACACTGGTCTCTTCCCAGCTGTTATGAGTCTGGAAAAAATACATTAAAGCCGTGGCC